GCAGCTGCTTCACTCAAAAAAATTAATTTGTTTTGGAAAGCTATTCTAAAAGTGCAAGTAGGCAATTAATAAGCAAATGCATCATTTAACAAAAAAACTTAACAAATACTTGAATTGTTTCCTGATAGTATTAATTTTGATGAAAACTTTAAACTGGAATAGCCTCTGGAATAACCTTCCTGTTCACTGTACTACTGCATAGTGCCCCCAAAATGCAGATTGTTAATCACCTGATCCTAGTCTTTTGCAAACAGTAATGTTGAGCACAGTGCGGTCAAAAATAGCAAAAAATATGAAGATACAGCAATAAATTTAGGAACTATGTAGTTGAAAGAAAACATGTTTTCCATGCTAGACTCAAAGTTTCAGATTTCTGTCGCTACTAAAATTATTGCCTGTTGTTCCCTTAAGTAAATTATCAATTCACTGACAAATGTAAGTTACTGATGTACATATTCCTTCCAGATGTTATATTTCCCACAGCCCTCTTGATAAGAAAAAGCACAAGCAGATCTTATTGAGCTTGATGTTATAAGTGTATGTCTATAATTATAAACAAACGGAAAATACCCTTAACTATTATTTGCTCTTGATTGTGTTTAGCACTAGCAGATAGGGTTGTCTTTCCCCTTCTATGTCTCCTACATATTATTCTGCCCCCCAAAAAATTTCCAGGAATTTCTGTCCTATATGCACTCTTCACATCCTCAGGATAGGAAGCATCAGGGCAAGAAAGTTATATTGTCAGCAAAAAACATTATCCATAAATCCCTAGCTCCTAAGTAATTCATTGATTAAGCCATGTCATGTACAGTCAAAGCGATCAAAAATCACAGTTCTTAAGTAGACTCTTCAAAGGCTTGTCACCTGATGCTGGGACAACTGTAACACTTGTCACAGTGTTGCTATTGTCAAATCACTATTTGTGTTTTAAACATTCAGTAGAAGTCTACCTGGTCAAATAACTCCATATCTAGTACAGGCAGCAAAGTATAGATGATATTGAAGAGGGTGATACATTGGAAAGGATGACAGCTGATGCAAAAAAATAGTATGAACAAAACCATTTTAAAGATTTCCAGTGGTAGTTTCTTGGAATAAGAGAAGACAACAGAGTATATGAATTTTCATAACAGGCAATAAAAGATACCTAAGGATTTAGTGGCTTATCATCTTATAGTACTGATAACATAAAACGGAATAATTGGGAGAAATAAAATATTCATTAAGCATTTCTCTGCATAAGAAAAAGCTTAAAGTATATATACAATCTGAAAGTGACAGTGTCAAAAGAGAAGATAGTAAAAGTGTTACTATCCATTGGAGTTGTGTTGCTTCTCAGGGTTCAAGTATGTGGTATTGCCACCCTCCATTCAAGTCATCCTCTTAACAACCACTGTACAAACTGGCTACATCTTAAGCAATGAAGCAAGAAGAATACCTGGATCCATTAGAGAAAAAAAGGCCACAGCTGAATTAAGTGTAAAAGAAGATCCTCAACAAGCAGCAATTTCACCTTTTTCCCAGACCTTCAGAGAAATCTGAAGCTACAATCATTCCCTAGCAATACAGCTCACAAAATTCTCAGTGTATTCAGCGACCCCATTTAAGTAGTCATTCAAGGAGGCCTCTCTCTCACTGCATTGGATACTGAGGAGCCTTGTCTAGCACAATTATCTGTAAGTCTCCAAAATGAGTCCTAGCTTAGGCTAGCTGTCTGATATGAAACAGTCTGAATCAAAGACATAAAACTAATTCCCCAAGTCCCAAAGCTGATGTAGCAACATATCTGCTGGCCTCAAATACTTAAAATATACAAACATACATTGCAGGCTGTCATGGATTCGAAGTCCAGAAATGTTTTAATTTGCAACACTTTTTCAATGTTAGAGTCTGCGTTTTGTAGCAATTCTGGAAACTTATCCTAGTGTCTGTTCATGTAATGCATGAAAGCTGATACAGATCTCCTCACAAACCAAGCTGAAAAGTTTTGTGATTAATGCCTTATTTTACTTGCTTCTTTACAAAGGTTACAGTCAGGCTTGTTTTTTGAAACAGGCATATCAGAGCATAAGAAGGAATATTGCACTGCACTATTCCCGTATGAAAGTTATACAAGGAGATTTTTATACTTACTATACAAGTTATTCTTACTAATTAATAAAGAAGTATTAAAAAAGAAGTTTATTATATAGGAGAATTTATACTACATACTCCTAAAGCAGGAAATAATCACATTTGAAATGAGATCAGGAAAAAAAAATAAAGGCAAAAGGAACATTCTATCATTGGATGTTAGACAAGTGACACTATTGCACTATTAGCCTCCGTTACCCTACGATCGGTATTTAGTATCACTCAGCCAGACAAAAGAACAACTTCCAGATGCTCACATCACTGGATTATATTTCAGAAAATGTCATGTGAACAACAGCCCACCTACCAGGAAATTCGGGTTGCATCAGAATGAAGCACAAATTCACAGACCAACAGTAATCAAGTAGTGCAAAGTAGCAATTACCTGAGCATGACATGTACATGCCAGCCTCTTGAGTACAAAAGTTTAAGTGCTAGATTTTTTTGTAACTAGGCTGAAGAATTTTTAGTGTACTGGCAGTTAACTCGATTATACGCTAAACATTTGCTTTAGTTTTAGTCTACATACTTCCATTTTCTAAATGAGCATGTAGCAAAATACCCATAGCACTTCTAAAGTCTACATCTGAATCTGTATCTTTAGCCTAAATTCAAAGCTCTTTCATTTTCAGCAAACACTTATGTCTTTTTCCTTCTCTCAGCAAGCACAGCTCTTTAATAAGAATATGAAAAATTCATAAGAAAAGGCAGGTAGCCAAAACAAGTCTGAAAATCTCTTCAAATTTTAATCAAATTTGAATCAAACTTCAGATTTGAATCAAACTGGAAAAAAGCCCCAGACACAATCACAAAGTCACAGGCACAAAATTTAAGGGGGGCCAGGGGTTGCCTTTTTTTTAAGAAAAAAAAACCTTCTGATAAAAACACACTTAAAAACACCCAAAACAAAACAAAAAAAAACACACACACACAAAAAAAAAAAAGAATGTGTGTACTACGTTTCCAAAGGTGAGCTGAAACAGCAAAACAAAAACTTATGTGAAGCACACTGGTTGTTCTTGCGTTCACCTACAGCTTTGCAATACTGTGTGATTCTAGAAACTGTAATCAAATGTTTAATTGCTGCAACTGTTGAAAAACATCCCCTTGTACTGACATAGGTTATTTCCTCAGGCTCAGAACATTAACATATTTTCACAATTATTCATGCTTTCACACAGTCCTTGATTCTCTCCTTTCTGGAACCATGCCAGTAGCATTAGGAGTGGTTTCCTCTTCTAAGTTTACCTCTGTATAGCTTTTGGAACACACATTACAGCTGCAGTTCAGAATTTTTCCCCAATTCCTCTATGTAAATTCAGGAGTTACACATGGACAGAAAAAAAACCTCAAAACTATGCTTCCATGATACAGGGAAAACATGGTTTTTATTCTTCCTACCTGCTAGACCAGCTCACCTTAAAAATCAAAGCTACCTACTCATTCCCTAATTACTTTTCAGTGTCTCAGAGGAGGATGTTCCAAACACCATTTCATTTATCAGACACTAAATAAGTACGCTAGGACATTTCATCAGGAACAGAGGTGAGTATAGAGAAAAGACCGCTATAAAATCATCATGAATTTAGTGACAAGAGCTAAGGGACATTAAAGTAGACAGCAAGTACAATGGGGAAAGGATTTTTAAGTTGTAGAACATCATGCTATAAGGAGTACATGCTTGAAAACAAAAGCCTCTACACTTGGTAAACAAAGCGCTACCTATGGTTCAGAAAGTCCTTCAGCTTCCAATTCTTGGAAGCAAAAAAATTAACATGAGAAAATAACACTACGTGTTTGTCCCAGTTTTATACTCTTTAGTTGTTTGCTTTTGGACACTCAAGAAGATGCTTCTGACAAGAGAAGAAAGTCATTGTTCTGACCTGTATTTTCAAGGTCTAGTAAAAGCTTAACCAGAGAAGTGGAAGATTCTGAGCAACAAAGAATTTACAAGAGAGATCAAACATCCCTGTTTTCTTAGTCTGTTGAAACTAACACACACATTGAAAAAGTAGGTTGTTTTCTTAATTTATTAAATGTTGATTTAAAACCATTTTTTTTTTCATTTGGACATATCACGATGTGAAGAAATCTGGAAACAGGCTAAGTCTTCATTCTCTTAAAACATGATTCAAATGTTAAGGAGACATTTAGGACTCTGATTAAACATCTCCAAATACAGCCTCCCATAAAGCTATCTCAGTCCAACATATTACTGATTTTTAAAACATGATGTTTAGCTTGCAAGGCCTCCACTCTTTGTCTCCTTCAATATTTCTTAGATCACCAACTTAATCTTCTGTGAAGAAAAACGCTTACAGCATTAGGAAAAAAAAAAGTAAGAAATCTGTGTTGTGTCTAAAAAAAGCATGAAATTCCAAAACAGCACTTCACCTTAGTAAAATTGCTTACTACACATCTATTGCTGACACAGCGGATGCAGTCTAGGTAGGGGCAGTTGCTTCATCATGGCTATCTACACACTCCTTACAACCACACAGACAAACTCTGGGATTACCATACCCTTAAAGCAAAACAAATGGCTTCTAAGGTAGAAATGTCTACCACATAAAAATGGTATGTCTTCAACTTGGAAAAATCATTAAGTGTAGCAACTGGCACACACTCATGTTTTCAAACATAAAAAGAAACAATAATTATTTGATTTTAACTCCCAAACAATTGCACTCAAATATTTAGATTGCCTAATTCATTCTTCTGACTTTCAATACTTCTACTTTCAGGTATCTAGAGTACAAGTCACTGCTTTGTTCATTTACAAACATATAAAATAGACACAGACCCGAGTAAATGCAGCAGTGTGAATGCAAAGTTTTCATAGAAGAAAGAACACAAGAACTTACACATCCTCAAACAAGAAAGACTGCTATCAACCTGTGACAGCCTCTGGAGGGATCTGAACTGGGCAAACAGTCCCTGGGCAAACCAGCTTCCATTTCTTCCTAGCCACTGATGCCAACTCCTATGTGTGCACCTGTAAGAAAAGACAGAGGAAACTTAACTTCCACTGAATAGCTGAAAAACAGATGTCAGCTTATTAAGCTACCACATACACAGTTTCAGACAACTGATATAATTACTGTCAATGGAAAACATTACCCTAGACTACAGGAAATTTGAAGTAGGAGCCAAAAGTGTTCATCAGAAAACAAATGGTCTCACATGAACATTTGGTTTCACTCCTCACTCACACAGTCCCTCCAATCCCAGAAGCAAAAGCAGAAACCTGTGCAAATTAATTTTGTTATGATTAATTCACAGTTTCTCTTCTTTCTCCTTTCATGTCCCCTTTAATTCTTCCCCTATTCATTGCTGCTTCTGGAAGACCATTTCTCAGCTCTTCACACCAAAATAGATGAACAAAGGCAACTTAACTCTATACTAACTATAACCTTTTACTGGTTTAGATAACAACAGCAAAACTTAAAATAAACCCGTTACAGAGCAACCCATTTTGTGTCATCCTATTCTGCTATTTTTCCTGCTTCAACAGTATATTGTGGGAATTTCAAGTTTTGACAAATTTACAGTGCAAGGCTAATAGCAGCAAGATGAAACAATCTAAGCAAGCGACCCAGGCCATTATTCATCATGAGGTCAACTTGTATCATTTTAAGACTGCCCATCAATTAATTAGAAAGTTATGTATTTACTGTGTAGTCTCACATAGCTATCATACCATAAAAAGGAACTTCCAAGTATCTGACAGTAAACTAAACAGAGCAGTTACCTATATTAACGTCAGTATTAAGCATTTCATTTGCTTAATACCATCTGATGTTCTGATCCTGCCACACTGCATTCTCAAATAGGAACATCAGTCAGTTTGGAAGTTTTACAGGCTATCAAAGCACGGTGTTTAATACAATAGTTTTGCACTTTCTCAAAACGTTAATTCTGAGATGCCTGCATGCAATTAAATGTGACCCGAATATGGATATCCTCCACTGAGTTCTGAAGCTCCTGGTGCCTCTGAGCAGTCATACAGTAGGAGTTATATCAGGTCCAGCATTTGGTAGATCAGCTCAGGGTGGGTAACTTCACATTTTTGTGCAACAGACTTGGATTAGTTTTATTCCAAAGACCCAGCTACAACCAAAATTAGGCAATGAAAGAAATAGCTCAGCTAACAGCAGAAAATGCAGCATCTGTTACGCAAATATTCTTAAAGCAGGACAAAAAGTGAGCTTTCAGGCTGGCAGCTAAGAGGATCCAATGTGGTACTGACTAGAGGCCTTGAATGAAAAGGATGTCCATGATGGCAGGCAGAGAACAAGAATTCTATTCATACTCTCAGTTGCTATATGGACTGTATTCTACACCGAACCAATGGGTCATTAAAAAAACAAAAACAAAAAACAAAGAAAATAAAAAACAAAAAACCCAAACAAACAAAGAACACACACAAAAAAAACCACAAAACACAACAAACAAGTCAATAGTAACAGCTATAGGGTACCCTTTCTGAGAAATACAGCCAATTTGTTCATCAGTCATATTCCATTACTTATGTTTGATATGAATGTTTGTAACAGTAGCCTCACATTTTACAAAAATAATAACCATTTGGAGGGTATTGTAGAACTACAATTTCCTACATATTTGAAAGGTGACCAAAGTTACAAGACAAAAACCATCAAGAATGAGTAAACACAAAGAACACACATCTTGCTGAGACAAGGAGTGAAGGAAGCTGCAAAAGCAGCTTTGAATGGTTGCCCTGTTCTTTTGTTTTTTTCCTGAACGTCTGTACTTGGTCACTGCTAAAGATAGGACCCTGGATTAGACAGATATTTGGGCTTACTCAGTTGTAGTTCACCCCACACAAGCCAACTTATTTATCATAGTTACTTTCAATTACCAAATAATGGCATAAGGGTTGATCTGAGTTATTTTTTCCATAGAAGGAAAAGCAATTCTTCAAATAAAAAAGGTCTAAGTAATGGGTCTGCTATAAACACAAATTCATTAATAAGCCATCATTTTTATTTACATTTCAAACTAAATTTCCCCTTAGTTTTGATCATGCTGATGTCATTAGCTCCAGCTCCTACTGCCGACGTGACTGCCTTCCTGTGTTTCCTAATCAGCTCTGAAACTCATGTTTTTTGTAAAGTGACTCAACAGCAAGTCACAGTTTTACACGTACAGACAAGTTCCAAGAATATTCTCCAAATCAGCCTCAATAGCAAGAGCCTAAAAACTTCTGGTAAGTCAGGTTTTGTAACTATTTTAGGGCAACATGAATTTGGTCATTCCTTGCACTTAAGTAGGGTATCTTCTTTTGTAGCAAAGTCAAAGGAATTTTAAGCAACTGAAGCATTTAGCAGAAAATCTCATTCCTATTCATCATCATAAATCATCCTCTTATGTGCATATACACATATATAGCATATATAATCTCAACACACACAATTATAAAACACATTTTCTTGCCTAATTGTTTGACTTCACTTTTACCTACAAAATGCTAAAAAGAAACCAACTCACTAAACTGGCTACTTGAGAAAAACATTCAGCTTTCCAGCTGACACTGTGAGGATTAGGGAGTAAACAAAAGACTTACTAAATTGAACGATCATCTCAACAGGCATTTAGTACAGGAATGTGCGTTTCTTTGGTTCATTACTTGGAAGAACGTCCGTTGTTAACTTTTGCAATTATCATTGCATAACGTTCAGCCATACCCTCAGAAGGTTCTCTTTTGGGTTTATATTTAATACTGCAGCTAGCCACATATGGAATGAGCCCAGGAACAAAAATTCTTTAGCATCTGAATATATATATCACAGCATTTAATTTACTGTGAAAATTGTGACATTAAAATGTGAAAAGAAAATCTTCTAAAAGGAAAAAGTAGGGATCTCAGAAGTTTTGGAGTGCTGCAAGTCACAGGATATGGCAGTGAAATAAGGAAAGCATGTATTGCAGATGCACACAGCGAGACAAACAGGTGGAGACTAGAACTGCTAACTATCTTCTAATGCAGCTACAGCAAGCTTGAAAGTCTATTAGATTAGTAAATAAGAAACCTTCAATTTTTGTTCAAGAGTTCAAGCCTGAAGTACATGAAAGGAACAGAGCTTTCCTTATGACAGGAACCAGATTCTCTAATCAAAGCAAATTGTTCCGGCATTCCTATAAAAGGCTGATACTTAAACAATCCACTGGAGTTAACTTAATGACATTAATTTGATGTCGTAATTATTTTAAGCTCAAGTTGTGCTTTTAAGCAAAATGGGGAAAAAATAGTTGCACTATATCTGCCTACTTGTATTTCAGTTAATTGGCATTGGTCCTGTGCTGCTGCTACTCCCACACAAGCACTTGATAGCAGCAATAGGACATTTTAATTAAGGATGGATAAGATGGTGTGAAACATTGACTACAAAACCCTCTTTTGCAAAATTTATTTTGAAAAGCTATGCAGAATACTAATTCTTTTCCAAATGCTCTAAACCTGAATTTCCTGGAACAGAACACATATAATTGGAATGGGAATGAAAGGGCAAAACATAATAAACATACTTAACAGGCCATAACCATTAACTACTAAGGGGTTAATTAACTACCAGTGACACACTTGTCCCAAACTAAGACCTGGTTGGACTTTTGCACTTCGTCCCACAGAGTAGCTGAGAATCATAAAGCTCTTACAGGTATTCTGCTTTGTTTAAAGGAAAAAAAATAGAAAAGAGGTTAAGAAAGGAATGTGGCCACCTGACAATGACTTAGAAGTGTCACCAGAGAGTCTTTCTACACATCTGACTCACCTTTAACTTTGAATTTAGTTTTTATTTTAGTATTTTTCCTTGGAATCTCTTCATTGTTTTTGCTTTGTAAATGTTTCATGTAAGTTTCAGTTGGAGCTGAGATAATGTTCAGTAGAAATTTATTAGAACTGAATGTTAATCTCATTGCCAGGATGTTTGCTGTATGAACATACTGTAATGCTCCAAGTAGAAATGGAATATCAAAGGAAAACAATATAAGTTGAAATAAGGACAACAGAACAAACACTGAGTTACATGAGCTTATTTATCATCCTTCTGACACTACTGGATTCCTTTTTCCCCAAAGGAAATTTTCATTCACTCAACAGCAAGGAAAGACTTACTGGTTAAGTGGTTCTAAAAAACTATGATGACGCAGCTGCAAACTAGAATTTAGAAGCTCTCCTTGGATGGGACACTATTACAGATATAAAATACTCCCTATACATATGCTAAGTTTTTTCTATGTGTCTTACTCCTATGGCATAACACTTAAGAATTTTTGTCACAATATCTGCTAGCTGACCTACTCCATAAACGATTAGTTCTAGACTATTATAGCAGTAGGGCCCATGTGAGACTGCTGATATATCTCACAAAGGGAGATCTTTAATAAAGTAAATTGATATCTGTTATTTTCTCTTCTTTGCCTTTTAGTATTGGAATAATTAATACATTGTTACAGCTATCATTTTATTTTAGAAATTACTCAGCTTATTCTTAAATTTTACAACATCGACTCAGAGGAAACTAGTCTCAGCAGATCCAAATTCTAAAACCAGCCACAACACAATGTAGATCCAAACTTCATAGATCATATCTTGATGCTTTACTCCAAAATTTTATGTATGTTTCTCTAAAGATTGCTTAGTTAACACTTCAAAGAATAAGCTTGTATAAAATTAGGCAGTATCAACAGCAATAGCAGCAGTCAACAGGGCCAGCAGTAATGATAGTAGCAGCAATAGTCAAGGAACCCTAAAACAAATGTTGATGAGCACAGGCGAGCTTTTTCTTTTCCCACTGTATCCAGGTTTTTGCAGGAAACTTTTAAACTTTTCATTGAAAAACAGTATTTAGTGTGTATTTGCAAGGCGTGATGATGCCATATGGTAAACTAGACAGCAATCAGACTACCATGCACTGGAGCCCAGGAAGTGGGTTAAGTGCTGCTCAGGGAAAGGCCAACTTCTGCTCTTTGAAGGACACCTGCTGGATGAATGTGTGACTAAAGGTGGCGAGCACATCCCACTTCAAAATCACTGCAAAGGTAGCGAGAAGGTGCTAAAAGGAAAACAAACTGACCTCTGTGTATGAAGGTGAAAAGTTAGGCATGCCTTGATACACAAACGTGTCATGAAAGTTATTAGCTAAAGGAAGAAACTACTTTTTAAAATTTTCACATATATCCACAGTCTTGAATAAGAGAATATTGTAGTAGAACTTAAGTGATTTCACATCCAAGGAAGATGTACATTCATTAATAACAAATATGAAATGGATCTTTCAGTGAATAAAACAGTCTTTGTGGCAACTCTAAGAGTGGAAATTACTACAGACGTTACTAAAAGCTTCACAGTGAATGAGGTAGGGAAGGGAACTAGTAAGACCCAAGTCAGAAGTCATCCACTCATTCACCAGAAAGTCTCTCCCTCCTCAATTATTGTAAACATTTTAAGTTTCAGTAATAAAAGTTGGCTAAATTATTCCTCTGAAATAACTAGGATGAAATCTGGGTTTCTTAATTCAGCTCTTAAATTTAGTGCAGATGAATCTTTCTTGCCCTACTCCCCCCCCCCTTCAATTTTTATTTGAAAGTTGTCACTCTCAAAGGGGAATGAAATGCAAGTTAGGCTCACTTGTATGTTTAGACATAACTTTAGAGAAGTGGTACACTTCAAGTGGATTAAAATATCTGATGGTAGCATTGACAACTAATAATTTTAAATTTTTTTTATATATCATTTGCTAAACTTCATCACGTTACTTGGCAAAGTAAAATACATCACTAGCATTCAGGTCTCTATACTATATAGAGAAAAAGACTGTAATCCTAGAAGCTCCCAAGACAGAAGTCCCCAGAATGATTTGGGTGGGAAGGGACCTTAAAGCTCCAGTTCCAACCCCATGACATGGGCAGGGACACCTTCCACTAGAAGAGATTGCTCAAAGCCCCAGCCTGGCCTTCAACACTGCCAGGGTGGGGCATCCAGAACTCCTCTGGGCAACCTGGTCCTGTGTCTCACAACCCTCATAGTGAAAACTTTTTTCTTAATATCTACCCTCTTTCACCTTAAAGCCATTTCCCCTTGCCATCACTATATAATCCTTGTAAAAAGCCAGGAAACTGGTACTAGAACATAAGTGAAAAGGATCAACCCCAATATAGATATCACCAAGCCATCAAAATAAGTCTGATGCCCAAATTCATAAGTATTAGAAATGCAAGAAATTTTATTACATGTTTGAAAGAGACAGAACAACCTGCAATTAAAACAATTCCACATTACTGCTTCACAGCCAAGTGAATTATGCTTTCCTTGCAATAAGATCATTTTGAGCTTTAGTTAACACTTAGAAAAACAAGGATATAATTAGGTAAACGTTGGCTAGTACACATAGACATATATACTTTAATGTCAAATTGCAAGACTTCCAAATATATTAAGAAACAAATGTGATTATTGTTTTCATCCTTCACACTGATATTCTAAAGACCCGTGCTCATTGCAAGTGAACTGGGGAAAGTCCTAAGACTTTCCACTGGACTCAAAATTTCACTGATAAGTTATTTCTTAAATATCGATATTACTATGCATGGGATGGGATTCAAAACTTGTACTTTTACTGTACTCTTCTGCACAAGACATTTTTATTAAGCAAAGTATACTGCAGTATTATACCTTAAAATTTCTGTAAATGCCTTTGAAGTGCAAAGATCATGAACAGTTTCATTGTTAAAGAGCAAGAATATGTCAGGAAATGTTTTTCACCTAAAACACATGTCAACAAAACAAGCTGTTACATGGCTTACCAACAACAATGTAGCTTGATCATTCCCTATATTCTGGTATAAGATAGTACAAGGAAAAAAAAAGAACAGTAAACATCAAAATTGATGGACTGCAATGTAAGAAAAGTTTTTAACTGAAAATAGGAACTATTGAGAGAAAACCATACCTGTTTGGGAAAACATTTGTAGGAGTGTAGGGGGAAAAAGTGGGAGAAAGGGAGAGCCGAAGTGACAGAGAAAGGAGACTGACAGACACCGGTCCAAGTGGACAGAGGTTAAAGGGACAAGTCTTGACAGCCATGACCACCCAATGCAGTGTGTGCATGCTTTACAGTACGCTGTGGTTTCAGCCACACCACTCTGTTGTTCCCTTATCTAAATGGCAACTGTACCCTGGCCACACACACATACAGCCCCCTCTTAACCTTACAGAGTTAGTATGGAAACTCAAGGTTTTAGCATCTAAGGAACTGTAAAAGAGATCAGATGCTTATGATTCCAGCTTTGCTTTCATATAAAACATGCTGGCCTTCTGGAAAAGATTAAGAGAAAACCAAGAAAGCTCTATTACAGAGAGGAAAACAATAGTTACATTTGTAACCCATATTAAGTATATGTTATGATGGTTTAGTAATGTCACAGACATTTTAAAAACCATCGAATGGTTTGTATTACGCATGGACACTTACAGAGAACATAAACCCTTTGAGAAAGCAAGGAGAATTTTATTCAGTTTTCCTTGAAGTTCACCTTAGAGGAGACCCCTGAAATCACACAGACAGCACACACTTTTTAAAGTAACTGGGTAATTTGTATTCACATCCATACGCTTGCACTGATTTCAAGCTAGAAGTTCTGAGATGGGGATTACTTGCACAATGTAAATATTCTAAGAAGTGCTTAAAATACTAGCATCCATATTATTTAAGTAGATATAGTTCTTTAATCAGCTCTGGGAACACAGAATACTTAGAACATTAACCTAACTTCACAGCAAGAAAACATTCTATTCCCAATTACGGAATTTATATTTACACCAAGAATATTTAAATGTAATTTTAAGCCTCTAATTTAAGTGGAATTTGTTGACCATTAAAAGGAGCTCCTGAGTTAATATCTCAAGTAGAAGTACTTGCACCAAGACAGTTAAATGCCAAAAGACATGAATACTCCATTGGCCAGATGAAGTTGTTGAAATACAACTGTATCTGCCCCTTTACAATAAAGCTTTATCTGATCATCTGGAGTATTAACTGAAAAAAAAGAATTTAAAAGAAAAACTGTAATCTCCTTTGTTGGGGCTTTTGTGTGTGTTTTTTAAAGGGTTGTTTGATCTCCCAGGTCTAATTACAGTTTTATTGTACGTACCAATAAAAAATAGCCATTACACAGAAATAATCCAAGTGTATTTTTAAAAGGAACAGAAGGTATTGTTATAAAAAACATTTTGATATGAAAAAGGATGTGTAACATGGAGTGAAACTTTAAGTCCAGTTTCCATTATGGATCCAGTTTTCTCAGTCCACAAAGTTACCAATATTTTAGGCTATAATTTCTCAAATTGCAAATTACAGCTAATCGTTGCATGATCCTCGGTCTTCTGAAATCTCAAATCCAAGAACTAAACCTTATCTTAAACATACTTCATTTTCAAATCAAATAACAAGGCTCAGACTCTCTTAGTTTCTTTACAAACCCTGCTTTCAAGAGTCATCTTTTTTTCCTCTTTCTTGGGTATTTCCTCCCTATTTTTCCTATATTCCTTTTCCTTTTTAACTCTTGACAGAGATTAGACAGTTTTTTGAATAACTATCACTTGTTTCCTTGGAATAGTCTTTCGCTCTCAAGCTCAAAAATCAGAGAAAGCAAGAGCAAAAGCTCTAGAAAGACAGGCTGAAGTGGCAGGTGAATAAAAATCTTTATAGGCTAATGAATATGTATTAAATAGATAGTGTTCTTAAACATTTCTCCATAATAGATTAATATAATGGAAAGGGGTTTTTTGGTTTTTTTTAGAAAATATATGTTTATCTACAGGAATTTTCAATAAAAAGTTGGACCCTTACATATATAACAACTTTTCCAAAATACTTTCTGAAATCAATGGTGATTGAAGTCCAAAAAAGGGAACCACTTAATTATTGGTGTAGTTTTCTTTCCAGTTAAGAGCTATAGCAAGAGCAATGAAACTACTTGTTCCACAAGTGCTGTTATTATACAGATTTTTCATTATTTTTAACTAAAAAAAAAAAAAAAATGAATAAAGGAACTGAAATGGCCCACCTGAATTTTGTGTCAGGATATTTAGCTGCTTATAAAAGCCTACCTTCAGTTGACTTTGATGATACAAAACCAAGAAGGAACATCTAAACGTTTTGGAGTAGAAACACAAAGCAGTCTGAGTACTTCAAAGACAAGCAGCACCACAGTACATGCTGCTTATATCTGTAGGTTTTGTCTTGATAATATTTTCAACATTTTTTTAAATAACGGAATAAAACAGAGTACATTAATAATTGGCAATAGCAATGTTCATATTCTGTGCTGGGAGATCAGCATGCAGCATCACTGGTAAAAGCAAACAAAGAGCAGAGCCTTAAGTGATATAAAGATTTATAACCAGCTAGAATTTAGTGAACTAGCTCAGCTCGAAATTGTGCCCACAGAAAAAAACCACCTTGTTACTTCGTGTACTATTCTGCAGTAATTAATTTTGTTATGTTATCTTAAAAGCTCAGAAAAAAAGTAGTTATCAAATTGCCTATTAGTCAATTTTTAATATTAATGCTGTTGGGAGCTCATAAACATACAAGCTGAGTGTCTATGAGACAAAAGAAAAAGAAATATTCATTAAAATTTTAAGCACCTGAATTTGTCAGGCAGGTTCTCTAAGCTCCAGTTGCAGCCATTGAAGAGAAGCCAGCAGACACAAGACTTCTCTGAACCACTTGTAAAAGGATTTTAAAATCTATTTCCACTGACTTTAAGGGGAAAACTGAGGAGGATTCCTAGCTTAGTTTTAGCTGATTACACCAGGTGCCGAGTTTGACTCACATAAATACCTCCTAGGCAACTTGCATTGGTTGGCTCTGAGAAGTAAGGCAGACTTATGCACCACAAATACAGAACTCTAAGTCCACAGATAGTAAGACTAATAAACAGAAAAAGCGCAAATAAGATCTGTATCTTCGCTTTAAACAAAGATTACACATTGCAAGGAACATTTCCTACTGGTCTTCAGAGCTCAGGTTCCAGATTCACCTGACAATTGTTTTTCCCCCATAGGAAAACATCGCTCAAGCTATAAACAATAAAACAAACCTGCTCTTGGGATCAAATTTTCCTAAAACTCTTTCATTGTGAAATATTCAGATTTTCAAGAAAATAAGAGGGGAGAACTGAAAAAAATCACTTTATTATTCTGCCTGTGATTGAGCACCTAATTTTCTTGACCTATAAAGCCAGGCTGAATTTTCAGTGGCATTATGATAGAACACTATTTCTCTAAATGTTTTGGCAAAGATAAAAGGGATCCTCTGGCTAAAGGCTGTATACCGCAGACAGAAAACTGAGGCTCAAGACAAGTACAGTGCAAGCTTAACCATGGAACACAGCTTGTGTTTATTTAAAGAGCATATTGGAATGCCAGTGATTCTTTTCAGCTGTCCCATTACTTTTTCTCCCCTAAACTTTTGTTTAATTTTTTCCATGGTCCTAATTAGGCAATGCTCAAATTTGGAAAAACCAGCAAACATGCAGTACTGTGCAGCAGATGGCAAGATGTTCTAGAGATTCCATTAAGAGCATCTTGGTCATCATGTGATGCAAGACAAAAGCAAACACTTGTAGCAGCCAACTGGAATCAATTCCTCTACAGTGACAACAGAGATGGCAACCTACAGCTTGCAGGAACAAAAAGCTGAGAGTGAAATCACAGGCCACCCACATATATAGAGATACCCCAAGTTTGGTCACTGGTTCCAAATTAAAGCATTTCCCCTTAATTCACATACCCTGAAGGTTAACACTGAAGTGCAATACAAAATGTCAAAACTGAACTACACTGGTTAACATAAGATTGCATTAAGCTACAGAGTTTAGCAATGTGCAGTAATTGCCCATTACACGATCTAAAGCACATTTGGTTTCACCCGCACAAACAGCATGTATTTCATTTTGATAGAAATAAGTTCTTTCAAATTAAAATTGTTACTAGATATGTCATTTAGTATCTCCCATCAGGCTGCAGTATATCACACAAATATTTATTTTCTTGGCAGATTTTGTTTTCACTTAGACAAAAATCCTCTATCATAAGCAACATGTTTTGTATTATATGTACATCACTGGTTACTTATTTTCTTCATTACTATTTTCAGTGCTTTACAGCTGATTGTAAAAGTTTCTCTAGGATGATATTTAGATTACTATACACATAATTCACATGAACTAACTTGTTCAGAAGTAAATATTTAAAAAAATGAATAAGATGATGATCCAATTAAGTTTAATTCATTATTTAGGCTATTTGATTCATACTGTCTATGTATCCCACATTTATCACAGTCAAATCTGAATACAAAGGACAAGCTTTAGAGCTTTGGTTTTCAGCTCTAATCTACACCATTCCATTTTAGACATCTGCATTGAGTGGCCAAATTGACCTGTAATATCCCTATCTTTAAAAACTCCACCACTTCACAACCAACAAAATTCTCTGGAGAACTACATTCAGAGATGGTGCTTTACCTGTGTGCACTGAAGAACCCTTTGAAAGGATCTCTTTTTTTTTTTTTTAATCATAAAAAGTAATGCAGGGAGACAAACTGGAGTTAAGTAACATTAATACACTGCTTTGATCTACTTGCCTTAACTATCCTTTAGCTATTTGCCTGTGCTACTCATTATCACTATTTATCTCGCATGTTTCAATTTAAACTGGCAAATTACAGCAAATAAACCCCAAAGTCTTTAAAGATTTCATGGAGCTGTTGTTGACCAAGCAGCTGACTCCTCAGTAACACTGCCATTTGATATACAGGAATAAATCTCAGTTATTCAGTATTCGTTTTGTTTGTCTGGGATTTTATTCATCAGCATTATATGAAAAGAAATAATTTAAGATCTCAACACTAGAAGATACTAAAGTATAGTAGAATAAACGTAATGGAGTCTGCTCACAGCCACCTCAGGCTGACTGCAAAGTAGAATTCCTGAATTTCATCCCTGCTCCTCTTAAGTATTATGAGGCTAACATAGCTTTTTTATGCTAGGCTATTCACTTTTAAAATTTTTTTATTGATTTATAGTCCTAAAGACATTCTACATAAGCTAAGCTTTATTATAGGAAAGCAAAGTATTAACAATGAGCTGTTGCAGGTTATGGACTGTGATATTAACACAACGCATAGTTTGTCCAGTCTCACCCATGTCACTTAAAATACCATAAAACACCACAGTAACTGATGATAATAGGGAAGGGACAATGCAGGGTAGTCAGATTTATAACTCCTTGCTAAAATCAACACTTGAATTTGGCTACCCTATGGTTTCATTTTTAAAAGTAAGGATTTGTGCTTGAAGTCTTCAATTTCTGTTTTTCATTTTTTTGTGAACCGTTTTAAATTAAGATAAACATAAATACACTTCTAGTCCTGTTGCTATCAGGAGAATTAAGTACTAAAAGATGGATATTTTGCCAAACAAGTTATTTCATTTTTCTCCTTTTCCATTTCACGGCAAGCTGTCAAAATGACTACATGGTATTGGATGTGTCCTTGTAAAGGACTTTTAAACCCTTTGCAAGCATAGAATTTAGTATTAACAGTCATGAAAATATGTAAACTTGCCATAAGTTACATAAAACAGATCACAGGAGCAGTCAAAAAATCAGACTGCTAGGCAACACTGTAGTAAATGCAAAATGACATAGACTGTACTTTCATCCAGAAATAAGACCAAAGGATACCTACTTGGAAAAATTGTAATGTCCATAAAATTCTAATGAGAAACTGAACACATGAGCCCCAGTTCATATAAAAATCTGTCCCAGTGTTAAAAGTATCGGCATGAATTTCACAATTGTCTAAGTTATTTAGGCAGAACGACCCTTTTTGTAGACAAAGAATGAGATTTATTCAAGATAAAGCTCATTTTCATCCTTATTAAAAGCTTGTAAATATACCACGACAAAAAGACCCTCTGTGCTGTCCAGCATATCCTCTGTGCTTAGCACACTGAAAACAAAGAAACAAAGTTAAATGGTTTGGGGACTAATAATTTAATATTCTTCCCACAAAACTTGTTTGGGAAGTCATGCATGAGTTTAGAAATAAGTGTCATGTAATGTATAAACAAAGCCTTAAAAAACCCTTTTCTATATCCCAAGAAAGGACATAACATCCCCTAAAATTCATCCTCATTAACATCAAACTTTGACTAAAACACAAGAAAACAATGTTTCATTCAAGCTACAAGCATGCCAAACAATGAAACAAAAGCACTTGAAAAGACCATATTTGCTACCAAGTATTCATGACCATGTAAAATATTTTTTTAACTCACATAGATGAGTCAAATCAACTCTGTATATTTATAATAAACACGTAATGGATTTACCATAATCCATCAAATGAAGTTTAAAACTCATGTATGCCACGCTGTTCTCCTGTGACAATCTGGAGAATGACTGTAGGAGGGCCCAGCAAATACTTCCCATGGTTCAACTACTATAAACGTACAATCTATCAAAATGTATGTAAAATGTGTAAAAATTAATGGTGCAAAAGCTATAAATGCAACTAGAAGCATTTTAAAGTTAGAACTGAACAATAGGAGTGCTCTGGAGAATAGGAATTCTCTGGCCTCAGAGAATAAACCAAGCTATTTAAAAAAATTTAGAAAGCATCAATATCCCACAGAGCAATGCATGTAGAACTTGCTAAAACACTCTGAGTATTAAAACAGCAATTCTCTACTCAATGCAAACTTGCTTTTCATTACAACCAAGTTCATGAGGTAAAGTCTTGTACCAACACAGCTAGACTGGTTTTAATATTAAGGGTCATGGCATATATGAATGTGTAATGTAAACATTCATGGCATCTTGAGTTTCTGTAACAAGCCAGTATGAGCATTCAATGGTTATTCCCATCCAAATATCTCCTGACTAAAAGTTTTGATCCTACCTGAACAAAATACATATCATTTACACGTAAGATAGATAAAATATTTATCATGCAACATGAGATGATCTTAAGGTCCTTTCCAACCCTAACTATTTTATGGTTCTATAAGATACAATTTTTCAGTTATACTACAGAGGACGGTAGTATAATGTATTCCATGTATACGAAATTGGTTTTTAATTTAAAATTAGCACTGTGTTGTCTGGAAAATACTAGAAGTGTCAAATCTTCTGTGGAAAAATTGGCAAAGTATCAGGTGCCTAGGGTCAGGTTTATGATTAAGCAATAGTTTTGGTAGAGCTAAAAACACTTCAAATTTGAGTAATAAATATTACTTTGTTAAATACTGTTACTGTGAAAGGTCTCCAAACATTCCAGAAAACAGTTTTGAGAAGACATATAAAGTATATCAAACATAAGGCTGTAACCTAGACTTTTGGGACATTCCAAAACTTTACACCTACCTACAAGTTAAAGACGTCTTGGTTTTACTTTTTCCTGTATAAAATACTAGGTGATAATACAACAGAAAAGAGGAAAAAGGATTAAGAAAAATATTGCCTTAATGTTTGATGCTAAAGTATAACAATCGCATGTTGACAGAGCTTAGGTCATATTTCAAAATGCAAAGGGACTCTTCAGAAAAGCTGGTGGGTTTGTTTCCTATTTCTTCTCAGGGCCACACAGTTACAGCTTGAGAACGTTTTCAGGACCTGCACATGAGTCAAGGGAAAGCTGTTGCAGATCAAAAGAGAAAAATTAATAGAGGGATTAAGGCTGAAGACAATGGGAAGGAACAGAATGTGTGAGAATTCCTCAATTTTATTATCCTCTACTGTTGACACGGGGAAAAAAAAAAAAAATCCCTTCATCAGGTCAGCCTATAAGGCTACAGCACTGTCAATCACCAAAACCTCACCAGGTTTTTAAAACATGGTTTAATAGTTTAACTTATTATGAGATATTCGCAAAATAACAAAGCCACATACAATACTCTAGGATGTAGAGTTCTTAAGAAGTCTTCTCAACCAATAATTCTTAAGCTTCACAATAAGAAAAACAAAAGTGGCTTTCAATCTTTAAAATCATTCTAAAAATAAGATGAAAATTCTGACAACAAATTAACAAATACCTTATGTAAAGACGTAGCCAAATATTGGCATTCATGATACCAGTTTACTAAGACACAATGATTATATGATGCATGTAGTAGAAATGTTATTTCAATGATTGCTTTGAAATAGAGGTATGTTTGCAAGCAGACCATCAGTCTTTTTAACCTGTTTAAGGTAGATCTGCACAAACTCTTATATTCATCCATTTTTTGTTCTGTAATCTATGTAAAAGAAAACATTTACAATTAATAATGTTTTAAGTTACAGACAACTATTTAAACTTTCAGTAGTATAAAAACCCTAGCATTAAAATACAAAACTTATGCCTAAGATTATCTACTAAAGTTGACAGGGTGCTCATTTATTAACAAACCTTCTTTAAAGGTAGGTATGAAATTATTTTTTTTCTTTTATTGATGGCATAAGTCCCTAACTTTTTCCATAAGATTCCCCAGTGATTCAGATAGACTAAAATAGTCTTTGACAAACCACTGCATGCATGAGTACAGAGCAAAAATAGTGGTTGACAGAGAAAGGAAATAAAACCAAGCAAAGCAATGTGAAAGATGTAAATAAATGAAAGCAGAAATGAGACTATAATAGACTCTTTCACTTCCTTGAAAAATATTTCCTGTTGCCAGCATTCGCAATGATCTTCTATAT